ACAAATTTAAAATAGCCGTAGCAGAAATTTTACCAAATAATGTAAAACGATTTTGAGGTTTTACTATATGGGTCTTGGTCTTTCATTGAGAGTTGGAATCATTCCGCCCCAGACATCGACTCTCAGTGGCACAGTGTTATTAGTTCGCGTTATCACTTGTTAGTTTCTAGTTCTACTCCACGGAACACAAAAATATTGTTTAGTATTTTTCTTTAAATACGCACTATAAACACATTAAATAACAACAAACAAACACACACACGATATGCACATTAACTAATTATTATTAGAAATACCTTGAAATTATTTTCAATATCTAACTTTGTTTATTTATATTTACGCAACCTTTCACAAGACTAATAATTTTGCACCACTTGACTTTGAAAGCGCACTGAAAGCACAGGGTTGAAACTTCAAATTTGTTATTTGGAGATTTTCTTAATTGACATATGTACGTTTATAAAAATAACTGATATAAAGAAAATGTTGCTATAAAAATCTTGAATTGATGCCTTTATGACTTTGAAAGCGCACTGAAAGCACATTGTTGAAACTTCAATTTTGTTATTTGGAGATTTTCTTAATTGACATATGTACGTTTATAAAAATAACTGATATAAAGAAAATGTTGCTATAAAAATCTTGAATTGATGCCTTTATGACTTTGAAAGCGCACTGAAAGCACATTGTTGAAACTTCAATTTTGTTATTTGGAGATTTTCTTAATTGACATATGTACGTTTATAAAAATAACTGATATAAAGAAAATATTGCTATAAAAATCTTGAATTTATGCCAAAAAAAAATCCACTTCCGCCAGTGTGCATTGCGATAAGTCTCCCAAGTAGGGTTCGAACGAGGGTATAAAAATGAGTACATTAATACTCGATACCTTATTTGGTGATTTTACTCGATACTTTGCAAAGTACTCGTAGTATCGAATACTTTTTAAAAAACAAATTTTCTTTGCTTATATGAATTATTATCATTTAATTTTGTCCATCACTTAAAATAAACTGAAATTGCGTGTAGTCTGTTGCATAACATAAACCAAATAAGTTAAAGTTTAAAGTCCCATTTCTTTGTAGCAGGTAATTTCGCGAACGGCTGGTCCGATTTTCATGAAATTTTGCACATAAATATCTTTCAGCAACCACCATGTTTTAGGCCAAATAAAATTTACTTTTTTCCGGTAGGTGGACCAGGGACCGATCTATTCGAAAAAATCTTATTATGGTCCGATTTGCTGAAAATTTGGTACGTAGGTAGCTTTTTACCTAGATTAGCATATACGATCATTTTCTCCGCGAAGTGTACCAGGGACCGATCTATTCGAAAAAATCCTATTTATGGTCAGATTTTCTTTAAATTTGGTACGTAGGTAGCTTTTTGCCTAGATTAGCATATAGGATCCTTTTTTCCGCGAAGTGGACCAGGGACCGATCTATTCGAAAAAATCCTATTTATGGTCAGATTTTCTTTAAATTTGGTACGTAGGTAGCTTTTTGCCTAGATTAGCATATAGGATCCTTTTTTCCGCGAAGTGGACCAGGGACCGATCTATTCGAAAAAATCGTATTTATGGTCCGATTTGCTTAATCTATACTAGTTATATAAAGAGAAGTCCCTTTTCTTTGTAACAGGTAATCTCGCGAACCGCTCGTCCGATTTTGATAAAATTTTGTTTTAAATAGCTTTCAGCAACCACCATTTCATAGGCCAAAAAACAATTACTTTTTTCCGGTAGGTGGAAAAAATCGTGTTATGGTCCGATTTGCTTAATCTATACTAGTTATATAAAGAGAAGTCCCTTTTCTTTGTAACAGGTAATCTCGCGAACCGCTCGTCCGATTTTGATAAAATTTTGTTTTAAATAGCTTTCAGCAACCACCATTTCATAGGCCAAAAAACAATTACTTTTTTCCGGTAGGTGGAAAAAATCGTGTTATGGTCCGATTTGCTTAAAATTTGGTAAGTAGGTAGCTTTTTTCTCGTTTCCGGGAAGTGGATCAGGGACCGATCTATTAGAAAAAATCGTATTTATGGTCCGATTTGCTTAAAATTTGGTAAGTAGGTAGCTTTTTTCTCGTTTCCGGGAAGTGGATCAGGGACCGATCTATTAGAAAAAATCGTATTTATGGTCCGATTTGCTTAAAATTTGGTACGTAGGCAGCTTTTTGTCTAGATTAGTATATATGATTATTTTTTCCGGGAAGTGGACCAGTAGTGCGATTCACTAACTTTTAACAATGCGACTTGTCGTTTTGTTGTTTGCAGTAACGATTGTGCGATTCACTAACTCTGCTGCCGCTAATGGACATAAATCTGTTGCATATGCCAAGGCGCTCGTGTGAGCACAAAGTTCACAAGCATTTTATATGGAAGAAAATGCGCAACACACTCCACAAAAAAAATTCTAAAAAATCAACTGTAACTTTTAGCGACTTGAAACTTGAAATCATACCCGAAAATCATTTAAAGATTCTGAATAAAAAGTTTGAAATCTTGGTGAAAATTTTTTAAAGTTTGATTGATTTTTGTGAATTTTGTGCAAGCTTTAAAACTAACTTATATTCATGTGGTTTCTGTTGTTATATAGTAGATGGAACTATTTAAAACAAAATTATTAAAAACAAAAAATACACATACATCATTTAACATGAAAAAGTTTGTTAATATTAAAAAAAAAAATCGGTATGCACATTTTGTACATATTTATTTTCAATACTGATTTTATTATGCTAATGTCATGATGATTAATAAAGAAATATTTAAATATGCACATACATGATATTTATATTTTTAATAAACGATGTACACGTATTAAATTGAAAACTTTAATTATTCAATTCCTTTAAATTCAATGCATATTCAGTTTCTGTAAGATTAAAAAATATAATTATCACGTTTTAACTTCCAGATTTCTATATTAATTTTACGCCCTATTGTAAAATTATAAAAAAATTATTTATGCGATTTTGTAGCCCATTAAATCTTAGTACAATGAAGTGCAAGTTTGATGTTGCTGAAAAATCCTTTGATTTTTGATATTTGTTTTTGCTAGCTGTGCTGTCCATTTTTTTCATACGAAAAAATTGTAGGACGTACCTTTTATGTTTTATTAACAATACCAATCTAGACGTCGCACAGTGGCCAATTTTTCGAAAAAGCTGGCCAAAAGTCGAAGCTTGGTTCAATTGTAATCAAACCTTGTGTATTCGTCTTTATTTTGGTTTCTGGTTTTAAATTTCACCACATAATTTCGAAATTCAAAATGGCTGATCCATAATGGCTGCTGTGTACGCTTAAAATAATCAGATTTTTAGCAAATCGGAAGAGAAGCTCGGACAAACACTAACGAGGTCTTAATGTTTGTTTCTAAAAATCTTGATGTTGAAAGTTACACGGGAACTGCGGGATTTTGAATGAATCAATAAACAAGACATACATATTTGTTGGTACAGGAATATATTTTTAAGATAACAATTTTATACACCGTCATCGCAGTCATCTGAAGTATCCAAGCTCGTATCTATATTTACTGATGGCAATTCCGCATCCGCATTTACAACAGTTGATAATAATTTAATGGCATCTGACGACAGTTTATGATTTTGTTTTGGTGGGTTTAAACGTAATCTTGAAATGACAGGGCCCGAGGATACAAGCAGCCGATATTTTTTAATATCCTTATTCCTTGACTCTTGGGTTTCTTCGAAAAGTTACCCAATTGGCAGGGTTGCCCATTAAATAATGAGAGGCCCATGGATGAGCACTCTAATATAGTAGTACTTTCTGACATCATTTAAATTCTAAAAACATCCAATCTTTAAAACATCAAAATCTTGACAGAAATATTTTTTACATACATAATTTAAATCTTTTAAACATAAAAAAATTTAGAATCACGTATAAAAACTGATGTCCAAGCTACAGTGGCGGCTTGTGGCAGGTGGTTTTAACCAAGGTGGATCGAAAAAACTTCAATATATATGAAAAAGAAAATTAGACCGCCCATCTCGACCTCTCGTAACTATTTTCCTAATCCATCATGAGTAAACAAAAAAGATCAATCCGTGAATATCTATGTCTTACGTCAGTTTTTAAATGGCGTGACAATATGAAAAAACATGTTTTACATACTCTAGATTACAATGTCCATGAGCAAATGCTTGAAAACTGTTATTTTTTTAAAGATAATACCACGATTTTAACAATGACGAAAACTCTAATTTACGAAAAGTTTAGAGCGAATTGCTAGCAACAGTCACTTCGATCTCCTGTAACATTAAATGCCTTAAGAAAATCGACTTGTTGTCTCATAACGATACGCAGTAGAGCCCTCCTAACAATATAAGATGGTTATGCATACGAATGCACCAATTTTTTTTTGGACTTTTGGCCAGGGTTTTCCAAAAATTGGCCACTGTGCGTCATCAAATTAGCGGCCTTTGTTATCGTTAACAACAACAGTTGATTTGGCGCTAACGAATGTTGTTAGGAAAACGTTTACTGAATAGCTATGTTGTTAAAATTGTTGTTTTGCTGACTTAACAATAACAGCAGTTGTTAAAATCGCGTAGTGAATCGCACCACAGGAACCGATACAATCGAAGAAATCGTATTTATGGTTCGACTTGGCTGACCAGATAGACGATTCGAAATTCTACACAATGAACGACCAGGATTATGGCTGACCCTGACGACAACGTTGATGGATGAGCCGACCCGAGCGGGTTTTAGTAGCCGCTACTCCAACAACAACTTCGTTTTCGATGGAAAAAATAAGATTCACAAAATAGCGATTAAATTCACCCAAAAAAAAAACGGAATTTAACTTTTTCCTTGATTGGAAAAATAAATAAAAATTAACGATTTTGCAATGATCTGATAACGAAAATCTTGATATTTAGTATTTATTTTCGCTCCTTGCTTAAAGTGCTTTAAGTCTGAAATATCTACCAATTTTCTAATGCCTATTTTATGTGCCCCATTTACAGATAAAATGTTTGATATATCAACTTTTATAATATCAGCACAATTTTGGCCGTCATTCAATAAAGAAAGTTTGGAGCTACCTGAAGAAATTGCCAATGAATTTGAAAAGTATACAAAAGCCTATGAAGCATACAAAGGAAATAGAACGTTAAATTGGCGAACAGTAACAGGACGAGTTAATATTGTTATTGAAATAGGTGAACGAACAATTGAAATGGTTGTGGCCCCCACTCAAGCAATCATATTGTATCACTTCCAACACAAAGGTAAGTCTTATTAATACATACTGTCAGTCAATAAAGTTTAGGTACAGCGAATTTTTTACAATACGGGCAACTATTTTTTAAATATTTTATTTTTCGCAATTTTTTTTTTTAAATATGGTTAATTCTACAGCAAAAACCCTAAAAATTAAAACTCCAAACCTTGTGCAAAATTAAAGAAAATTCTGCAAAATTTCATTAAAATATTGCACTTTTTATTTACGCTCTCTAGAAAAATGTTCAGTATGCAGTTTTTTAGCCCATTCAATTTTAGTATAATAAATTGCAAGTATGAAGAAGCTAGGACTTACCATTGATTTTCGGGAACTTTTTTTTGTTGAAGGTGTCGCACATTTTTTCCATATAAAAAAATTATCAAACATTATTTTATATGGAGAAAATGAGCGACACCTTCAACAAAAAAATTGCTAAAAATCAATGGTAAGTCCTACTTACCTCAAACTTGCGCTTTGTTATACTAAAATTGACTGGGCTAAAAAACTGATACTCAACTTTTTTCTACACAGCGCAAATAAAAAGTGCAATATTTGAATGAAATTTTGCAGAAATTTCTTAAATTTTGCAGAAATTTCTTAAATTTTGCACAAGGCTTGGAACTCTGATTTTGTTTTTTTTTTGTTGTAGAATCAACCACATTTTTATAAAAAATTGTCGAAAAATAAAATATTTAAAAAATAGTTGCCCGTATTGTAAAAAATTCGCTGTACCTAAACTTTATTGACTGACTGTATACATATAACTTCCAAGGTTAGGCTCATTTATTCTATTAACAACACGCTTAATTCTAAAATATAAAGAAAATAGTAAGCGGCTATTGAACGAAGTTTATTATTAGGCTTGTTCTATTTAACCATCACAAGATAATAGCTAAATCTTGGTCAAATAAAGCCAAACTAGCTTAATTCCTATGTTGGCCTTATTTTGACAGTTGTTTGACTTTTAATAAAAAAATTAAAAAAAAAACGATTGAAAATCAAGTAATTTTGTTTAAATTTTTTTATGTGCGAATGTCTGCTTCGTGATATTAACGCATAGAATTTACTTAGATACTTACAAATGCTTAGTTGGTATGCATCGTTTCCCTGTAGGAACTAGTGCGGAACTGGTTCGGTTCTAGTGCGTTTGGAACCATGACTAATACGCAATAATTCTCTTTTGCATGCTAGCGACTGGCGAATTTAACATTGCGATGTCCTAGGAAGTGTCAATTGTCCCCCGTTGCATCCCTTTGGCTCTAGTTCCAAACCAGTTCTAAATTCGACAGATGAGATCTAGTTCGTTTTGCATCCCAAAAATTTGCAAAATTTATAAACCACATTAGTAGTAGTAGTAGTATTAAACTTAAGTAGTAAGTAAAAACAAAAGTGCGTTCTGCTTAAAAGTAAAAATATTAGTTCACTTTGTCTTACTTGTCTAAATTTAAGCATATTGATTTTTAAGTAAATTCAGTTCTTTTTAAGCTTATATGTATATGAAGTACTTCGAAAGTTTTTGTCGTACTTAACTTAAATAAGATATACAGTCAGTCAATAAAGTTTAGGTACAGTGAAGTTTTTACAATACCGGCAACTATTTTTTAAATATTTTTTCCCCCTAATTTTTTATAAAAATATGGTTAATTCTACACCAAAAACCACAAAAATCAAAGTTCCAAACCTTAAGCAAAATTAAAGAAAACTGCGAATTTCCATCCACGTATTGCAGTTTACACTCTTTAGAAAAAAGTTAAGTACTCAGTTATTAGCCCATTCAATTTTAGTATAACAAAGTGCAAGTTTGAGGTAGCTAGGACTTACCATTAATATTTAGCAATATTTTTTTTTGTTGTTTGGTAAGTCCTAGCGTCCTCATACTTGCACTTCATTATACTAAAATTAAATAGGCAAACTCAACTATTTTCTAGAGATCGTAAATAGAAAGTGAATTATTTTAATGAAATTTTGCAGATTTTTCTTAAATTTTGTACAAGGTTGGGTACTCTGATTTTTGCGGATTTGTTGTAGAATTGACCACATTTTTACAAAAAATTACCGAAAATTATAATTTATTTAAAAATGCAAGCCAGAGGCGCTACCTTTTTTTAAGAAAAGACAAATTAATTTTTTTTATGCAATCCACAACAGCTACCTTAATACAATCAGTCAATAAAGTTTAGGTACAACGAATTTTTTACAATACGGGCAATTATTTTTTTAATAATAAAATAATAAAAAAATAATTGCCCGTATTGTAAAAAATTCGTTGTACCTAAACTTTATTGACTGATTGTATTAAGGTAGCTGTTGTGGATTGCATAAAAAAA